TATCACTAGTTCGCCGACTGGCGACCGCTGCTTTATCCTTATTATATCGATACTATTTCGATTTTGCTCGAATGCGCTTGCCGCTTCTGTCTCTCTCTCTCTCTTTCACCTGTCATTCCTCATAGGTCCCGCATACAAGCCGCTAGCCACTCATTTCAGGTTAATTTCCCCAGGTGTTGCATTTCTAAATTCAGATTTTATTTTTCCCCAAGAACAGCACAACTGTGGAACGCTGTCCCTCGTTCAGTCTTCCCTCCAACTTGAAACATCGTTTAAACGCAGAATCAACAGGCTAGTTCTAGCTTTAATTTTCGCCTTACCTTCCCGTGTTGCAGTATATCTTTGAATCGGAGGGTTTACCCCTTTTATTGTGTTCACTTTCATGTAATAAAAAAAACATTTGGTAGTTGAGAGCGGTAGCCAGATGAAAACCCATTGAGTCTCCGGGGGTTGCCGCTTGGCATCCACAACAGCTCCTCAATTCGTCCAGGCGCTTATCCATAGTCAACCACCAAGTTAATGGTCGAATCTTGTCTGCTACCTGAGTACTTACTTTTACGTAATCGGCTTCTGCTAGAGAATGTTTCGAATTTGGGACGCTACCGGCAGAATGCGCATTTGCTCGCTTACCGGTTCTTAGTTAAGTAGTTGTTTTCGGCTAGTTTTCCTCGGGGCGAACCGCATTCGATGGATAAGTTTGCTATAATCTGCATGGGTAGGCGCCAGTTCAATTGTTATCATTCATGACCTTAGCGGCTGTCAACACCCACCTCATTATGCTACTTTGTCTATTTCACCTTATCGTAATCTAACTCTGGTGCACAAGCGTACTTCAAACTATCTCTTTATTCAGAGATTTACTCCATTCAGTCAATTTTCATTGGCATTCGCTTTTGGGATGTTTCTCTAGCTGGCATCCTGATTGTGCAAGCTTACTAATCGGTTCTCTTCTGGGTTAAACACAAGATCGCACTCTAATTGACACAGTGCTAACCACTCTGGTTCAAATGTCTACTTCATGTTTCAGTCTATCACAGTAGTCCTCTCGCTCCCAGCCCTTCTAACGTTTTAGTTCCACGATTTATAGAACAAGCTGTATTTATATATATTTGTGACAGTTTTGTTGTTGTTGATTGCTTTTTTTGTATATATTATATATATATATCACAAACCTTAAAGTGATAAAAAGCACATCTATCTATCGATAGATAGATAGATAGGAAACTGGGTCACATAGGTCCTGTTAGGCTCCCTGGCTGGGGATTCGTAACCGATGGTTAGAGACACTGAGCGATATGGCTGGGTGTCGCAAACAGTGGCGTTCTTGGGAAACTGGGTCACATAGGTCCTGTTAGGCTCCCTGGCTGGGGACCTCGGGATGATCGTGATCGATGGTTAGAGACACTGAGCGATATGGCTGGGTGTCGTAAACAGTGGCGTTCGTGCATCGCCTCAATTTCTTTCCAACCTTAGACCACTGAATTTCTTCATTTTCTTTTCNCTTCTCCTATTCTTCATCCCAATGGGCAGCCAAAAAACAGCAACCAAAACCGGCGCACGAAAGTGCATGGTAAATGGTTGTTAAAACTGAACTGAACTATCTATCTATCTATCTATCTATCTATCTATCTATCTATCTATCTATCTATCTATCTATCTATCTATCTATCTATCT